CCCCGAAACCGCTCCTCTCTGAGCCTTCAGCAGGCCTAGTCCTCGGCAATCCCCCTTCGTGTTACTGCTCCCCAGTCACTTACTGCAGGAAGCACCATCCACGGGGTGCAGTACATCCCACCGCTGCCACCAGTTGTCACGGAGTCCCTGGGCGATGCTCTGGAACTGCTCCCCATGAAGCCAGTCAGGACTCTGGGGCAGTCGCCTTTCTGTGAGCAGCCTGTCTTCAGGACACGCAGCTCACTCAGCTTCCACCTTCCTGGGTCTGACCTCGGAGCATTCAGCATCCTCTGCCCCTCCGTGCGCTTCCCACAGCGAGTCCGCTCAGGCGGGGCTCCTGGGGAAGCCAGAGGGTCCTGCACCCCAACTTCGCAGTCAGACGTGACTCTCAGCCAGCCAGTAACACAGAAGGTTTATTAGATGACAGGAACATGGTCTAAAACAGAGCTTGCAGGTGCAGAGAACGGGACCCCTCAGCTGGGTCCATTTTGGGGGGCAGTGAGCCAGACAACCACGTCTGCACTTCACTCCATGTCCCAGCCAGCCCCAAACTGAAAACTCCCTCCAGCCCCTCCTCCTCTGGGCTTTGTTCCTTTCCCGGGCCAGGTGGTCACCTGATTCCTTTGTTCTCGGACCCTTCAGCTCTCACCTTGCAGGGGGGAAGGGCCCAGGCCATCAGTTGCCAGGAAACAGGGTGTCGGCCATTCTCTGTGTCCAGACTCCTGCACACACCTGCCCTCTAGGGCTCTGCAATGATCATACACCCTTACTCCACCCCCTAGATACTTAAGAACTGCATAGGGGAAACTGAGGCACCCCCACACTATTCAGAGGAAACATTAAGAACAGTCCCACTTCGTCACACACAGGTCTGGTCGCTCACACTGAGGGGGTCAAGCAGCTAGGAGGGAGAGCTAACGGGTTTTATGCTCCGTGTCAGAGTCTTGACTATAGCTCAATGGTGGGTTGCGAGTTCAGTCCTTGAGGGGGCCATTTAGGGATCTGGGGCAGAAATTGGGGATTGGTCCTGCTTTGAGCAGGGGGTTGGACTAGATGACCTTCTGAGGTCCCTTCCAACCCTGGTATTCTATGATCTATATTTAAAAGCGTTCGGTGTAACTTGAAGAACCGGCCCAGCGTCCCACAAATACAGCAATTCCGTGTCTCACCCCGGTGCACGGCGCAGGCCTGTGGAAGGAGACTATTCCGGCTCAGTCAGAGCCCTCCCGCCCCAAGCCCTTTCACCTCCCACCGCCGCTGGGCGAAACCCACATGCAAATCCCTGCCCTGCTTAAACAGCAGCCCCCGGTCCTGCGAGCCTCAGGCACCGCACGGCGCTGGCCCGTTTCTTCCTGCTGAGGAGTATCCCCAGACCCCTTCCTGCCACACCTCTGCGACATGGCGTTGCTGCGGGGGTTTCTTTTCGGCCTCTTGGCAGCTCCCTTCGGTGAGTATTTCGGGAACACGCAGACCCCGCTTTCGCTCCCTGCCCGCAGTGGAGCGTCACTTCTCCTTTTCTCTCCCTTCGCCAAGGTGTCCTCTCACAGATCCAGCTGGTCCCGTCCGCCCCGGCAGCGGTGAAGCCCGGAGAGTCCCTCGCTGTGACTTGTAAAGTGTCGGGGGACTCCATCGCTACCCGCGCCTGGTGGAACTGGGTGCGCGAACTCCCCGGCCGAGGGCTGCAATGGGTAGGGCGCATCCATTTCTCCGGGAGCACGAACTACGCCCCCGACCTCCGAACCCGAGCGAACATTGCCAAGGATGACGCCAAGAACGAGTATTACCTGGAACTCCGCTCCCTGACCGCTGCAGACACGGCCACCTATTACTGCACCAGGTGGGACCCACGGTGATACACTCCGTGACAAGCCCCTGGTGGGGAGTCTCCCTGAATGAGTCGGCTACGTCTGTTCCCTGTTACAATCTTCCTACGCTCTCCTAAGGGGCCGGAGAGCTTTCCCCCTTGGCGCTGCTAGCTCGTTTCCAACCCCGACATGTTTCCAGGGAGTTTCTCCTATTTAGCTGGAATCTTCAATGACCGGGAGGAAGTGTGATTCAGGGATCAGGGAGCTGGCCAGAGGCGCGTCTGCCCTGTTTATTGCTCTGCGAGACCTGAGGCAATTCACTTAGAGCCAGATTTTTAAAGTTAAAGATTTTTAATAATTCCCGTTGAAACACCTTTAAAAATCTGGCCATTCATTAGTCTCTGTGACTGCCCCCCCTCCCCCACACACACACAGACACACATGCTCCAGGTCTACCAAAGACTTAGAATCATGGAATCATAGGACTGGAAGGGACCTGGAGAGGTCATTAGTCCCGTCCCCTACACTCATGGAAGGACTGAGTTTTCTCTTCTGAACCATCCCTGACAGTGTTTGTCTGACCCACTGTTAAAAATCTCCAGTGAAGGAGATTCCACAGCCTCCCTAAGCACAAGACTCACCTTCCACAAGTCTCTCCAGGGCAGATTTTCAAAGTTGGGCACCTCAAGTTGCAGATGTGCAAATCTCACTGGATGCCTAAGTTTATTAGTTTAGCTCACACCCGGCCAGCTGTTTTAAAGATATTTAGGTGCTTATGGTGTAGATATTTGCCTAACTCCCATTGATTTCAATGAGTTGTTGACACCTGGGTACTTTTGAAAATTCCAATCGTTGCTTATCTGGATGTTTAGGAACCTAAATGCCTCTGAGAATCTGGCTTTCTCTGCCTCAGTTTCCCATCTGTGTAATGGGGATATTGACACTTCCCTACTTCACAGTAGAGTTAAGAGCACAAAACACACTAAAGATTGTGCTCAGACACTACGGTAATTAGCAGCAAAGAGTCCTGTGGCACCTTATAGACTAACAGACGTATTGGAGCATGAGCTTTCATGGGTGAATCCTCTCTTCCTCAGCTGCGTGTAGTGGAAATTTCCAGGGGCAGATATAAATATGCAAGCAAGAATCAGGCCAGGGATAAGGAGGTTAGTTCTATCAGGGAGGATGAGGCCCTCTTCTAGCAGTTGAGATGTGAATACCAAGGGAGGAGAAAATGCTTTTGTAGTCCGCAAGCTAGTCACAGTCTTTGTTTAATCCTGAGCTGATGGTGTCAAATTTGCAAATGAACGGATGTTCATTTTTTAAATTCATACTTTTAAAGGTCGCCATCCTGCAGCAAAAAAACTTCAGGACCAGACTACAAAGAGAAACTGCAGAGCTTCAGTTCATTTGTAAATTTGACACCATCAGCTCGGGATTAAACAATTAGATCCAGACTAACAGGGCTATCCCTCTGATATGGTAATTAAGGCATATCAATGACTGAAGTGGATAGTAAAAATTTTCCTGTCAGAGCTTTTCTGCAATGGAAAATTAAGTATTTAGCTAAAGTTTTTTTTTCCAGAAAATCTCTTTGGGCATTTGGTTGAAAGATATTTTGGGTTTTGGCCAAAAAGTCCATGATTGGTGATGATTTTAAATTTTTACTTTTCAAGATTTTTTTTTTAACAAAAAGTTTTTCGGGGGGGAAACAACCCACTTTATACCCAGCTCTACTGGAATAAGACCCGTTCTCCATCTGGTCCAAACCTGCTGTTAGCTCAGTCAATGTAAACTAGACTCTGCTCTCAGTTACACTGGTACAAACCCAGCATCACATCACTAATATCTGTGGGATTATTTTAGGTATTCATCCCAGTCACTGAGGGCAGGACTGGACCCCACCAATATTAGCCTTGATTTCACAGGGAGCAGAAGCAAGCCCTACCTATATTTAAGGTTATTTCAAAGTTCCCCAGTGTCAGGGTTTCTTCCCCACTCTGAACTCTAGGGTGCAGGTGTGGGGACCTGCATGAAAACCCCCCTAAGCTTATTTTTACCAGCTTAGGTTAAAACTTCCCCAGGGTACAAACTATTTTACCTTTTGCCCTTGGACTTTATTGCTGCCACCACCAAGCATCTAATAAATATATAACTGGGAAAGAGCCCGCTTGGAAACGTCTCCCCCCAAAAAAAAATCCTCCCAAACCCTCCACCCCCTTTCCTGGGGAAGGCTTGATAAAAATCCTCACCAATTTGCATAGATGAACACAGACCCAAACCCTTGGATCTTAAGAACAAGGAAAAAGCAATCAGGTTCTTAAAAGAAGAATTTTAATTGAAGAAAAAGAAAAAGAATCACCTCAGTAAAATCAGGATGGTAAACACCTTACAGGGTAATCAGATTCAAAACATAGAGAATCCCTCTAGGCAAAACCTTAAGTTACAAAAAGACACAAAACCAGGAACATACATTCCATTCAGCACAACTTATTTTATCAGCCATTGAAACAAAACAGAATCTAATGCATCTCTAACGAGATTGCTTATTAACCCTTTACAGGAGTTCTAACCTGCATTCCTGCTCTGGTCCTGGCAAAAGCATCACACAGACAGAGAGACCCTTTGTTTCTGACCCCCGCCCCTCCAGCTTTGAAAGTATCTTGTCTCCTCATCGGTCATTTTGCTCAGGTGCCAGCGAGGTTATCCTAGCTTCTTAACCCTTTACAGGTGAAAGGGTTTTTCCTCTGGCCAGAAGGGATTTAAACAGCTCTGTTTACCCTTCCCTTTATATTTATGACACCCAGATTAAATTTCTTTAATTTTCTGCTTCTGAAGAGATCATCTCCCAGACAGATCAGAATCCTGAGTTTCGCTTGATGAAAAGGGCCAGGCCCCAAGAGAGATCCCCACCTGCCACCAGACCTAATCTATCAGCCAGTCAATTCTCCCCTGTTCCGCTGCAGGGCAGCAGCTGCTGCATCTCGATCTGTTTCCTCCATTTAGCCCAGAACCAGCTCCCTGCTGGCCCCTTTCATCTCCCCTCCCTGATGGGTGAAACCTGCATGCAAATCCCTACCCAGGGGGGTTCCTGTTTAAATACAAACTCCTGGTCCTAGAAGCCTCAGTCTCTCCCCAGACACTGAACTGCCCAGTCCCTGCTGCTGGGGAGTCAGTTCATTAATTCAGACCATCATGGACTCATTTTTCACCCTCTTATTCCTCTTAGCCACCCATTCCTGTGAGTGTCTGTGGGAGGGGGTAGGGAAAGTTCTGCTTCGCTTGTACTGGAGGGAGAAATGTCCTTTGACTTCAGCAGAGCAGGGGGAGTCCCCGGGGAGTATCTGATCAGCATTAGAATTCCTGAAACAAATTTCCTCCTTTTTCAGGTGTTCTTGCCCAAATCCAGCTGGTCCAGTCCAGCCCGGGAGCGGTGAAGCCCGGAGAGACCCTCACCGTGACCTGTGCAGTCTCGGGTCAGTCCATCACTAGTGGTCATGGCTGGCACTGGGTCCGGCAGCCTCCCGGGAAAGGGCTGGAGTGGCTGGGACGGAGATTTTACAGCAGTTCCTCCTGGTACACAAACTACAGCTCATCTTTCCAGAGCCGAATCACCATCTCCCCTGACTCCTCCAAGAACCGGTTCTCCCTGCAGCTGGCCTCCCTGGGAGCTGCGGACACCGCCACGTATTACTGCGCCAGGCAGACACAGTGAAGCGGAGCAAAGCAGGGACCCGTGCAAAAAGGGGATGTGGATTCTGAACATACTCTCAGGCCTCTGGCATGGTGTAATTTATCTGTCTAGAGAAAGGGAAACACAAACACAGGAAATTTCCACTAGATGGAAATGAAGGGACATCTTCTGCTTCCCCTTTCTACTCCCTCCTCTCCCCAAATAGACTCCTTCGGTGCTAAACATTCATGAGAATCTTGGCACGGTGAAGAATCAACATCTATCGCTTCCTGGGGACTAGTCTACAAAAAATCAATTACTCCGAATTAATATAAATCAGTTTAGCTAAATGGGTGCCATTTTTGTGTGTGCATGCTCGCATTTCAGTTTCAAATTCGTTCCAGCGGTTCATCTTGGGAACCAGGAAAAATGCTGGAAGCAAAGTTTATAACCAATGCATAAGAGCGTCCACACACAGAAAGTCAAAACGGTTAATCTCAATGGGACTGGAATCACATAGTTACTTACATCATCACCCCTGTGAGTGGAGTGCACACACACACACACACACACACACACACACACACACACACACACACACACACACACACACACACCCCAGATCTCATTCCTTCCAGAAGGATACAAGCGTCCACAGAGAGGGAGTGAGAATGCTCTTGTATTCCGAAACTCTGTAAAGGAACAAGTGAGTTTTCTCTCTCTCATAGAAACATGATTAGATATCGGATGAGACTCAAGGTCCATCTAATCCGGTATCCCACCTCCAACAGTACCTGATGCCTCAGAGGAAGGTTGTTTGCAGTGTTGCTGTAGCCCTGATGGTCCCAAAAATATTAAGATACACAGGGTGGGTGAGGTAATATCTGATACTGAAACAACTTCTAATGGTGAAGAGACACGTTTTTGAGTAACGCAGATCTTCTCTGCAGGTCTGGGAAATATCAGATCTGAAGAAGAACTCTGTGTAGCCAGACAGCTTGTCTCTGTCACCTACAGAAGTTGGTCTAATCAAAGATATTATTTCACTCTGTCTCTCAGAAGACACACAATAAGCAGATGGGTGATAATCTGTGCCACACACAGGTTTTACTAAAACAGATACTAAAACTCAAAGATTACTTATGGGCTTGATGCAGGAATCATTGGGTGAGGTTCAATGCCCTGTGTTAAGCAGGTCAGACTAGATGATCAAGTCCCTTGGTAATCCCATCTAGTCTTAATATCTACGAATCTATTAAAATTACAGAATTTTTCCCAATGTGATTGCAAATGAAATGAAATTATGTGAAAACTCAATGGAATTTTACTTTCAATGAGATTTGGCTGCCTTACTGCCTTAGGTCTTTCTGAAAAAGAAAGACATTTAATTATAATAATTAAAACAAGAACTCAGGCTCACACCTTCTGTTTAACCTTCAGTGTTTGCACACCACCTGCAGCAAGGCTTCCTGACATTGGCAGACACAGCCACCTATTCCTGGGCCAGAGGCAGCCCCGTGACAGGGAGCAAAGCAGGGACTCACACAAAGAGAAGAGGTCAGTAAACAATAGTGAGGTCAGAGTTACAGAGAGAGTTAAGCCACCCAGAGAGAGACACACACAGTAAATTCAATATGAAAAAAACAGATATGAAGAGATTTTTTTCAGAGAATCCAGAACTTACCCCCTTTTTCCTGGACACAGTTTCCTTTCAGCTCCCACAGGATCTCATCAAACTTCCTGAGAAAATAAATGTATTTGTTTTCATTGCAATGGTTCCAAGAACAGGCAGGAAAAGATTAATGGAAACGTAGATTACACAAAATCACTCAGGGCCCCAGGGCTCTGCTCCCTGATTTCTTCAGACAACACACAGCCAACCTGTGGAATTCTTTGCAAGAGGATGTTGTGAAGGCAAGACTATAACAGGGTTCAAAAAGAACTAGATAAGTCCATCAATGGCAATTAGCCAGGATGGGCAGGGATGGTGCCCCTACCCTCTGTTTGCCAGAAGCTAGGAATGGGCAACAGGGGTTGGATCACTTGATGATTCCCTGTTCTGTTCATTCCCTCTGGGGCACCTGGCATTGGCCACTGTTGGCAGACAGGATACTGGGCTGGATGGACCTTTGATCTGACCCAGTATGGCCGTTCTTATCAGCATGTGAATTTGTGGCTATTTCTGTGTATCCAGGTGTGTACAGGAGTATGTTTTCTGTGAACCAAGAAAGTCTCTTTCCTTCCAGTAGAAGGTAACACTGACTCAGGCCCACACAAACCAAAATAAGCACAACAAATCTCATTCCCTGCCTTAGGAGGCAGCAGTCTTTCTCACACCCCATCAGAGTTCCCCCCCCCCCACACCGACCCCATCTGCTCTGAACTCTGGTGTACAGATGTGGGAACCCGCATGAAAGACACCCCCCCCCTCCCAAGCGCATACCCTACCAGCTTAGGTTAAAACTTCCCCAAGGCACAAGTTCTTTTCCTTGTCCTTGGATGGTATTGCTGTCACCACCAAGTGGTTTAAGCAAAAATTCAGGGAAGGGTCACTTGGAGCCCTCCCCCGCAAAATATCCCCCAAGCCCCTTCACCCCCTTTCCTGGGGAGGCTTGAGAATAATATGCCAACCAATTGCCTTAAATGTAAGTACAAACCAGACCCTTTATCTTTAGGACACTAAAATCAATCAGGTTCTTAAAAGAAGAGCTTCAGTATAAAGAAAAATGTAAAAGTATCACACCTGCAAAATCAGGATGGAAGATAACTTTACAGGGTAATAAAAAGATTTAAAACACAGAGGACTCCCCTCTGGACTCAGCTTCACAGCTACAGAAACAGGAATAAAACTACCTCTTAGCATAGGGAAAATTCACAAGCTAAAACAAAAGATAATCTAACACATTTCCTTGCCTTACTTACAATTTTTGTAATCATAGATGAATCATTTCAGGTTTTATTTTCAGGAGATGTTGTCCCTTCCTGGTCTCTCTGTCCGGAGAGGGAACAATAAAAAGAGCACAAACAAAACCTCCTCCCTGCCCCCGCCAGATTTTAAAGTATCTTCTTTCCTCATTGGCCTTCTGATCAGGTGCCAACTAGGTTATCTGAGCTTCTTAACCCCTTACAGCGATTCAGTATGGCTTCCCAGGAGGGATTTTATGTTACCCTTATTTCTATGTTTATGACACACCCACCCTCACTCCGAGGCAGTTCTTCTACCTGGAAAGCACCTAATAATAAGGTGCTGTGTTTCCCCTCCATCCTGGCTTTTCAGATTCGGCGCTGTGTCCTGCCATCACAGCCTGTGTTCTGGCAAAGCCCACGGGCTGCCTCTTCTCTTCATTCCCTTTTCCTTCCCTGTCACCAGAGCTGCTTGTCAGGTTCTGTGGCCTAAACCAGCCCTTCCCCGCAATTCAGCTGCTGCTCCTTCCCCATCTGGCATTCCCATGTCATTTCCCCAAGGACACAGTTTATATCTATTTCATATGCCCAACACATTTTCCGAATAGCCACCGCTCCAATACAGGGACACCTTTTACTCAACTGTGGAGAAAGAAAGAAAGAAAGAAAGAAAGAAAGAAAGAAAGAAAGAAAGAAAGAAAGAAAGAAAGAAAGTTCGTTCAAGTGTAGACTAGGGGATATAAACCCTGGAAAGGCACTTTTCTACCCAAATGAGAGTGCACACTTGGGGATAGACCAGGATATGTACACATGGATTTAAATTTACATTTAGGTTATACCAAAACTAATTTCCCCTGTAGACAAGGCCTAAGTCAAACTGGAGCAAGTCTGTTTCTAAACCACTCCTGACTCCCTAGAGCACTCAGATCTGGTCTACACACAGCTACACACATTCATATAACTGCTTGAGTTAGGAGAGTAATGTTTTCACCCATGTAGTTATAACAGTGCAAGGCCTTCTGTGGATGAGGTTATACCCGAGTAAAGGTGCCTTACTCCAGTCTAGTTTGTCCTCTTTCTCACTGGGTCATGAGCTGGCATTTTGTCCGCCTTCTCCATGGACGTCCCGGTGTCTGAGAGGAAGGGCAGAGTGTCTGACCTCAGAATATTAGGTGTCCCCGAGCCATTCCCTGCTCTTCTCAGCAATGTCCGAACCGCATAGCTTGGAACGGAGTCACCGGATACTTTACAGGTCAGTGTAAGGGATTGTCTGGGTCCAGCCTAACTCACACCTGCACACAGAGCAAGTTTCACTCCCTCCAGGAGGGCCCAGCAGTGTCTCTCTCACACTCTCTCTCCCCCTCACAGGTGTCTCTGCTACAGGAAAAGCACCGGACCGTTTCCCCCACGCGTGCGCTCTAGACTGTCCCTGGGTTGCTGCCCTCACGGCCTTTATTCTGGCAGAGCCCAGAACCTGCACCGTCCCTCCCTTGGTCGCACGCTAACACATGAAGTTGATGTGTGACTCTGCTTCCCACCAGACAGCTCCCTACCTAGAGGGGCCCCTCCCTTTATATCCGCTGGGGAAACGCCGCATGCAAATCCCTGCCCCGGGGGGTTCCTGGTTAAATACAAACCCCTGGTTCTAGGAGCCTCAGTCTCTCCCCAGACACAGAACTGCCCAGTCCTGCCTGCTCGGGAGTCTCCCTCATTTTATGAGAAAGAGAATGACATCTCTGTGGCTTTTCCTTCTCCTGTTATTGGCCCCCAGCTGTGAGTGTCTCTTGGACAGTGGGAGAATTGGGGGCAGATGCACAGATTCATTGGCTGGCTAATTTCGTCCATATTTTGTTTTCCTCTCCCCAGGTGTCCTCTCCCAGGTGCAGCTGGTCGAGTCCGGCCCGGGCGTCGTGAAGCCTGGACAGACCCTCACACTGACCTGCGCTGTCTCGGGTGTCTCCATCACTGACAGCAGCTACGCGTGGAGCTGGGTCCGGCAGTCTCCCGGGAAAGGGCTGGAATGGGTGGCACGTATACATCCGTACAACGGGAACAAGTGGTTTGCCGCGTCGCTCCAAAGCCGGACCACCATCTCTTCGGATACCTCCAAGAACCGGTTCTCCCTGCAGCTGGCCTCCCTCGCGGCTGCAGACACCGCCATGTATTACTGTGCCAGAGACACACAGTGACACAGAGCAAAGCGGGGCTGGTACAAAAAGGGGAAGCGGATTGTCTAGACTCACTCGGGGCCCTTTCACACTCACGTCTCCATTAGAAGCGGAGTGAGACAGTGGCCAAAAGGAGGTTTAGGAGGTGGACATCGGGGAGGTAAAATTCCTGGTCTACTAACTCAGCTCCTCCTAACACGGACACCCAGAGATCACATCTCACAGCTCCCCAAGAGGGAATCAATCAGACAAGCACCCGCAGGTCTCATTCCCATCGGTGTGGGAGGATTTATAGCTATAGCTATACACATATCAATACGAATACAATATATAAATATGTATGTGTCTATATTAAATCTATTCAGTGCATATCTCTCTGTGTAGACACACACTAAACATTTCCCCTGTCATTCACACATTCCTGGGGTAATTTTGATCGCTAATTCGGCACCTGAGGTCCGAGTGTCGCTGGTTTAAACCCTGAGGAACAAGGTTTAACTTCCCTGCCAAATTCTGCCCCTCTCCAGTGCGTGTCCCAGCCCCGCGCCTGACTTACCACAATTACAGATGTGTGTGTGTGTATGTGTACATATACTAAATACATATTGTGTGGGTCTATATGTGTAGACACTCACTAAATATTTCCCCTCCATTCACACTACTGTGGTTCTTTTGGGTGTTGATCACTGATTTGGCTTCGGAACCCCTGAGGTGTGACTATCACCCGGGGTTATGCTCAGATAAATTGGTTAGTCTCTAAGGTGCCACAAGTCCTCCTTTTCCTTAAGGACAAGGTTTAACATCCCTGCCATATTCCGCCCCCTCTCCAGTGTGGCCCCAGCCCCGGCCCTGACCTACCACTATCACAGGACTCCTTTGGATGCAGCCCAGAAGCTGCCGCTCTCCTGTCTGCCAACTTCCCGGCCTCCCTCCCTGCCCTGAAAGGTGTTTGCTAGTTTACTTGGGCAAATCCAAGCTTTCTCCCTCTCTCACTTAGACGGGGTGGCCTCTGAGCTAGAAAGACCAAGACAAAGAGAGCTGTCCCTCACCCTCCCGGTCCCGGACCCCCTTTACCCAAATCCCTGCTCCATTTTCTGAATCCTCTTGCTTCCCCTTGGCTGCTTTCACCTGTGTTTTGTGTGAGCGTCTGCCTCTGTACAACCATATTCCAAATTCTCTTTCCAACCCCACTCAAATGACGTCAACAATTCAAAACGCGCCCATATCCAGTGGGTTTGGGGATCCCAATTCCCTTAAATCCTGTTCCAAAACCCCACCCATATCTGCAAATTTCACATTAGCCACACACCTGTCCTCCACCCCGCTGTACGACTCTCAGGAGATGGACTCAGAGGATTAAGGCTGCGGGGTTAAGAAGCCTGCGATATTTAGGAGCCAGAATCTCCCTGGATTTCACTGGCAGTTGGATGCCCAGCCCCCAACCGGTCTCTGTTCTTCTCTACCCAGTGTCACCAGACCCTGTGAGACACTCCCAACGATTCCTGGATTTCTCCAAGGAGAAACTGCTGAGCTTGAATTAACATGCAAACTAGACACCGTGAACCTGGGTTTGAAGAGAGACTGGGAGTGGCTGGGTCATTCCACATATTGAATATATTTCCCTGTGTTAAGTGTCCTCCCACCTTCTTGTCAACAGTCTAAATGGGCCATCTTGATTATCACTACAAAAGTTTTTTCTCCTGCTCATAATAGCTCATCTGAACTAATAAGCCTCTCACAGTTTGTATGGCAACTTCCACCTTCTCTGTATGTATCTATCTTCTTACTACATGGTCCATTCTATGCATTTGGTGAAGTGAGCTGTAGCCCACGAAAGCTTATGCTCAAATACTTTGGTTAGTCTCTAAAATGCCACAAGTCCTCCTGTTATTTTGGGGGATACAGACTAACACGGCTGCTACTCTGATTCCTGGATTTGACCCTCACAATCAGCAATGAGGCAGGGAAGTCTCTTTAACCCCATTTTACAGATGAGGCACTGAGGCCCAGACACACTAAGGCGGAGATTACCCCACTCGCCTAGGGTATGTGGGCACCCACCTCCCACTAACTCGAGTGGTATCTGTGCACCCACAGCCCTGACGTGGATTTACCCAACGGCAACAGGGAGGGTCTGAGTTATTTAGGATCTGACCCTGCGACTTCTGTCCTTGCTCCTGGGGCCCCAGGAGAATCACCAGACCAATGTACATGTGCCCTGAGCTGAGCGCACTGTCTCTGGGGTGTAAAGGGGACCTCTGTCCCCGAGGGGACATGGCCACGTGCTGATCGCTCAATTCCGCCTACTCTTACACCCGTCCTGGGGAACCTGCGTGCGAATCTCTGCCCCAGGGGGCTCCTGTTTAAATCCAAACCCCTGGTTCTAGGAGCCTCAGTCTCCCCCCGGACACAGAACTGCCCGGTCCTGCCTGCTGGGGAGTTTCCCTCATTCTATGAAAACGAGAATGAAATCTCTGTGGCTTTTCCTGTCCCTGTTCTCTGCCCCGTCCTGTGAGTGTCTGTCGGGTAGTGGGGGAAATCAGGGACTGAGCCGCAGACTTTTCCAGTGGGTAACGTTTGCTTTTCTCCCCCCCCCCCCGCCCCACGAGATGTTCTCTCCCAGATGCAGTTGATCGAGCCCGGCCCGGGCGTGGTGAAGCCCGGAGAGACCCTCAGCATCACCTGTGAAGTCTCCGGAGTCTCCGTCAGCAGCTACCATTGGTGCGGGGCCCGGCAGCCCCCCGGGAAAGGGCTGGAGTGGATGGCAGTTATCTGCAGCACTGCACAGGGAGGGACCACAGAGTACAACTCGGCTCTCACACCTCGGGTCACCATCACCAGGGACCCCTCGAAGGAGGAAGTTTATCTCCAGCTCCGCTCCCTGGCAGCTGCGGACACCGGCACCTATTACTGTGCCCGACACACGGTGACACGGAGCACCGGGACTCGCACAGAAAGGGGAAGCGGATTTCTAAATAGTCAGGCTCTAGGAGAAGAGACAGGCGGGGCATTCACCCACAGTGGGATCACAGGAACCAACCCCCTTTCTCTCCCTACATCCCACCCTCTCCCAGCCCCTTCCACCGCTTCCTCGTGCTGCGCACTGACATGTGGACCCGGGGACTCACTGAGACGGGGTGACAGCTACATTAACGGTGAGATACTCTGGGCCTGGTTTCCAAAAGATGCTCGGCCCCTGCATCTCTGATTGACCCTCAGTCACTGCTGTGGGGGATGATCCACTTCTGGGAATCCGGCTCGCTGTGACTCGCCTTGGGCACCGAGTGATTCACGCTCCCAGACTCAGAAACCGGTGTCGGAAACGTTGCTTGAGGGGAGCCAATGTCAGAGGTGCTAAGCAGGCGCTGCTGTGCCTGAGGTCAGTGAGAGCTCCGGGGGCCCAGCACCTCCAAAAACCAGGCCTCCCGCTGCAATGCATTATGAGAGGAAGGGTAGGGTTAGGGTTAGGGGAAAGGCGCGGGGCTGGTTTAAAGAGATTCGGGTTTAGTTCTGGTCTCTGTCAGACACTGCCGGAGAGAAAGTGGGTAACTCAGCTCAACTCTCCCCCTGCCTCAGCCCCCATCTACAGAAATCCCCGCTCCCCACTCGGGCCTCTCACGCCCACATCCCGCCAGTGATACACAAGGCCGTTCTTGAGCAGCTGCAGCTCTGGATGTGGCCGGACGGGGGCGCTGCTCCCAAAGCAGAATGGAATCCTACCGCAGCCGGATCAGGCCGGGAACTGAACCAATGGTGCGGCAGCCCGGCTGTGGAAAGCCAACAGTCCCCAGGGCCCTGTCATACCGTTCCCTGCTCCCAGGGCTTCAGGGCGCGTGACCAGACTTACCAGTGTCGGGAAAGGGCAAAGGATCGCAGAGCCCTCTTCGCCCAATGAAAGGCAATAGCACTGATTTTATTTCAAAGGAACAACCACTTTATAATCACAGTAACAAATATCAGCCGCCCAAAATCAGGGTGATGGGCACCGGTCAAAGAATATAGTCTAGAACATAGGAATCACCAGACTGGGTCAGACCAATGGTCGGTCTAGCCCAGGACAGTGGCCAATGCCAGGTGCTTTGGAAGGAATGAAAACAGAGCAGTGTAATCAGTGATACATCCCTTCTAGTCCAATCCCAGCGTCTGGTACTCAGATTTCGGGACACTGGAAGCCTGGGGTTGTGTCCGTGACCATCTTGGCTCATAGCCATTGATGCACTTAGCCTCATAATACGAGAACTAGGGGGTCACCAAATGAAATTAAGGGGCAGCAAGTTTAAAACAAACACAAGGAAGTATTTCTTCACACAAGGCACAGTCGTCCTCTGGAACTCTTTGCCAGAGGATGTTGTGAAGGCAAGACTATAACAGGGTTCAAAAAAGAACGAGATAACTTCATGGAGGATATGTCCATCAATGGCTATTAGCCAGGATGGGCAGGGTTGGTGTCCCTAGCCTCTGTTAGGCAGAAGCTGGAAATGGGCGACAGGGGGTGGATCACTCAGTGATTACCTGTTCTGTTCATTCCCTCTGGGGCACATGGCATTGGTCACTGTTGGAAGACAGGATACTGGGCTGGCTGGATCTTTGGTCTGACCCAGTGTGGCCATTCTTATGTTCTCCATTAATTATTCTAATTTTTTAAATCCAATTTTAATTTTGGCCTTCACAACATCCCATGGCAACGGGTTCCACAGGTTTGACTGGGACTGTGCATTGTATGAAGAAGTACATAATTTGGAGACTCCTACTCTGGCAGAACGAGAGAAACGGGCCAGACCACACAGTGTTCGCTAATAATTTGTTTATTTCCTTGCCCTGTTACACAGCTATGAGAGAGCAACTGAACAAAAGAAGCAGAAGAACTCTTCTGATTTCAACTCCTTTGCAAGGGTGATATCCCTTAGTATCTAAAATCTAAAGGTTTATTGAAAGAAAGAAAGAAAGAAAGAAAGAAAGAAAGAAAGAAAGAAAGAAAGAAAGAAAGAAAGAAAGAAAGAAAGAAAGATGAGAGTTAAAAGTGGTTAAAGGAATCGAATACATACAGTAATGGCAAAGTTCTTGGTTCAGACTTGTAGCAGTGATGGAATAAACCGCTGACTTAAGTCAAGTCTCTAGATGCTTCCAAATCATTGGAAGGTCCTCAATCCTTGGTTAGAATGCTCCCATTAATATAAGTTCATAGTCCAGAGGTTTGAGCAGGACAGAGGCTGCAGGAGGAGAAAGTCAAAATAGAGGGGTTTCCAGAGCCATTTATACCCTTTGCCATGGTGAGGGAAACCCATAATTTCAAACAAAAACCTCAGTTTAGATAGTGGAAAACCCCAGGTGACCAGATAGTCTTTGGGGTCACATGGGCAAGTCACATGTTCATGCCCAGTTTCGCTCAGTCATTTCAGGAAGTCATTACCTACACCCCAAACAGCACATTTATAGGACAGTCCACTCAGGGTAGCTGGGTGTCTCCCATGGTCCACTGTCAGTGAAGTGACCTTTTGATGGGCCACTCAATTTGAATAGTTCCTCCAAGATGTGCTGACTGGCTACCTTGTGGGATGTACCCCAGGAGCAAACATTTGAAATCCAGCTATAGAGCCAATATTCATAACTTCAAGTACAAACATGATACTTGCATACAGATAGCATCATCATAACCAGCAAGTCATAACCTTGTCATAGACCCTCACTCCACGACCTTTGTACAATATTTGCTGCAAATATAGAACAGTGGTTGCAACAATGATCTATAGGGTCATATTCTAATCAGAGAATGTCACAGACACCCATAGACTTCAGCAGTCTTCGGATCACACCCTGTGACATGAAGTGGGTGTGTGGCTCTCCCGGGCACCAGACAGCATTCCCTGGACAGGGGTCTCGCTGGTAGTCTTTCCACACTGGCTGAAACCCGCATGCAAATCCCTGGCCCAGCAGGGACTCCTGAGTCCCAGTCCCTCTCCTCCGGACCCCCCAACCCGCCCCTCCTCTCATTCCATGGACCCTGAGCTGAGCGCAGGGCCTCTCCTGGGTGTAAAGGGGACAACTGTCCCCGAGGGGATATCACCATGTACTGAGCACTCACCCCCCTCATTTGTTATAGCCACCCTGGGGAACCCGCATGCAAATCCCTGCCCCTGGGGGTCCTGTTTAAATCCAAACCCCTGGTTCTAGGATCCTCAGTCCCTCCCCAGGCACAGAACTGCCCGGTCCTTCCCGCTGGGGAGTTTCCCTCATTCTATGAAAACGAGAATGAAATCTCTGTGGCTTTTCCTTTCACCGTTCTCTGCCCACAGCCGTGAGTGTCTCTGGGACACGTGAGGAAATTAGGGACACACACAGAGACATTCAGTGGCTAAATCATTCCTCGCTTTGCTTCCTTTCCCCAGGTGTCCTGTCTCAGGTGCCCCTGGTCCAGTCCGGCCTGGGTGCGGCGAAGCCTGGAGAGGTTCTCGCCCTGACCTGCGCTGTCTCCGGGGTCTCCGTCACTGACAGCAGTTACTACTGGCAATGGATCCGACAGGCTGTCGGGAATAGGGCTGGAATGGACGGGACTCCTACGTCCAAATAGCGGGGGTACAAGTTACGCCCCGTCCCTCCTGGGCCGAATCACCCTCTCTGCAAATTCCTCCAAGAACCAGGTCTCCCTGACACCTCTTACTGCCCCCGATGCCCAGTGACCCAGAGCACAGGGTGACTGGCACAAAAAGGGGAAGGAGTTTCCATGCAGGGCATTTAATATCCCAGGTCTTGCATTATCTGCAGGCTTGGAGGGATCAGATTTCATCACACTCAGAAACCCTCCCACCCCCGCCCCCGCAAACATATTTCCTTCCACCAGCATTGAAATGTACAAATGCTCAAATAAAATAATGCTGAAAACACACAATTCGGTGCAACTATATAACAATCAAACATGGTTTCAAATAGACATTAACACTGGCTGTCAAAACTATTTAAAAAAAAATTCTGTGGAGCCTAATTATCTCCAAACTCCGCTTGGCTACAGGCCGGTAATGTTCACAGGATCCAGGCTAGGTCCTTACATAGGTCAAGGACAGCCACTGCGTCAGCTCTCTGTAGGTGGAGCCGGTCTGGCAGCTAAGGAAGGACGAGTCTCAAAGGGCAGGAGGGACGGGAATTATCCAAGAGCTCGAAGCACCAACAATCTGGGTGGGGCACCCACAAACAGAGGCACCGGAAGTCATGTTCATCCTCCTGGCCCAAAATCCCACCTCCCGAGGAATTTCAACAAGGCAGAGCGAGCTGTGCAGGGGCCGAATTGGTGATTCCTGGGTGCCCGCAGCCACTTATCCCCAATAAAGAAACACTCGGGATGGATGGAACCGTCTTGGGGTTTCTCTTCCCTCTCCTGGCTGCCTTTAGGTGAGAAGTTAGGGGAGGCCCAGAGAGAGAGAGACAGAGAGGGCGGAATAATATATCTTATGTGTTAAGAGAAAGGGATTGGGGATGTTTTCGGCTGGGTTAAAGAATAAGGCAGGGTTGGGGTCAGGGGATAAATGCAGGTTCCTGCTTAAGGCGAGGGTCAGGGTTACTGCGCCAGGAGGGACAGTGACCCAATGCAGAGCAGGGACTGGCAGGCGAAGGGGGGCGGTGGTTTCTAAAAAGAAAAGGAGTACTTGTGGCACCTTAGAGACTAACCAATTTATTTGAGCATGAGCTTTCGTGAGCTACAGCTCACTTCATCAGATGTATACATCCGATGAAGTGAGCTGTAGCTCACTAAAGCTCATGCTCAAATAAATTGGTTAGTCTCTAAGGTGCCACAAGTACTCCTTTTCTTTTTGCAAATACAGACTAACACGGCTGTTCCTCTGAAACCGGTGGTTTCTAAGCAGCCCAGGGAGGCCGGGGTTACAGGGACAGCGGAGCCCCGCAGAGGCAGAGACCGAGCCCAGTGGAGAGAAGAGGACACGCACACGTACAAACAAGTGTTTCTAAAAATGCCCCCAGAAGACACCCAGTTTCTCTGGACACGATTTACCTCGGAGCTGCCACAGGAATCACGTCAACCTCACCGACAACCAACATGCAGATCCCGGTCCCTGCGGGGTCTCCTGTGTCCCAGGCCAGTGCCCTGCCCCCTGGGCCCTCCTCCCTCCCCTCCTGTCGTTGCATGTGCGCTGAGCTGAGCGCAGGGTCTCCCTGGGGTGTAAAGGGGACCCCTGTAACCGAGGGGACATCGCCATGCGCTGAGCGCTCACCCCCCTCATCTCTTACACCCGCCCTGGGGAACCCGCATGCAAATCCCTGCCCTGGGGGCTCCTGTTAAATACAAACCCCTGGTTCTTGGAGCCAGTTACAGAACTGCCAGTTCCCAGCCCCTGGGGAATTTCCCTCATTCTATGAAAACGAGACTGAAATCCCTGTTGCTTTTCCTTTCGCTGTTCTCAGCCCACACCCGTGAGTGTCTCTGGGTCAGTGGGGGAACTAGGGACACAGACATTCAGTGGCTAATTCCTTCCTTGCTTCATTTAGCTTTGCCCAGGTGTCGTCTCCCAGGTGCGGCTGGTCCAGTCCCGTCCGGGGCCAGCGAAGCCCGGAGAGACCCTCACCCTGCCCTGCGCTGTCTCCGGGTCTCCATCACTAGCGGCGGTTGTGGTCGGGACTGGGTCCGGCAGCCTCCCGGCAAAGGGCTGGAGTGGCCGGCAAGGGTTAATCCCAGCAGTGGGGGCACAAGCAACGCCCCGTCTCTCCAGAGCCGCTTGACCATCTCCAGGGACACGGCTACACATGCGCTCTCCCTGCCGCTCCCCTCGCTGACAGCCGCCGACACCGCCGCCTGGTCCTGCGCCGGACACACAGTGACCCAGAGCAGAGCGGGGCTGGTACAAAACGGGGAAGCGGCTGATAAACAGCAAAGTCAGGCCAGAGGGACAAAGCCATTTTAAGCCCTCCCCCCCCGCCGCCCCCCCACACACACACACGCTGTCCACACACACCCAGTGGCTAGAACAGGACAAACAGCCCCAGGGATATTATGAAAAGTGCCCCCAGAAGCAGCCCCGAATGTCCTGCCAGCTGCCCCAGGGATCCCGGCCAGCTACCGCCGAAACACGCGAGTTGTTTGTATTTCAGTGGCTCTAGGAACAGGCGGGACCGACTCACGGAGGTGCAGAGTCCGGCCCGGGCAGGGACCGGGGGAGGTGTCGATCTGTTTGCCTGCGAGTGTCTCTGCATATCTGTGTAGACTAAGGTCTATTTCCAGCACGAACCCCCAGCACACAGGTCCCCCCAATCCTCCTTCCTTCCTTAGGGGCCGCAGTCTCGCTCTCTCGCACACACTCCGGCTTTTCTATGTGGAAAGCACCCAACAAGAAGCTGCTGCATTTCTCCCCCGGGCTTGGTTCAGACTCTCCCCGTATCCCAGCCAGCGCAGCCCCTGTTCTGACAACGCCCAGACCCTGCAGCGTCTCTCCCTGCCCAGTCCCCTCACACTCAGCGCAGGGCAGGGAACCTGGGGCAAATCCACAGACTCTGGTGCCTCAGTCTCCCCCCAGAACCCGAACTGCTCCTTGTTGGCTGGACGTTTCCCTGTCTGCTTCAACCCCCAACGGGAACTCTCTGTGGCTGTGCCTTTCCCTGGAGCCCCAAACATCACCCAGGCCTCATCCCACCCTGCCAGGAGCAACGCACCCACCCCACTCGCTGTTACATACGAACATATGAATGGCCAGACTGGGTCAGACCCAAGGTCCATCTAGTCCAGTGTCCTGTCTTCCAACAGTGGCCAGTGCCAGGAGCCCCAGAGGGAATGAACAGAACAGGGAATCCTCAAGTGATTCATCCCCTGTTACCCATTCCCAGCTTCTGGCAAACAGAGGCCAGGGACACCATCCCTGCCCATCCTGACTAATAGCCATTGATGGACCTGTCCTCCATGAACTTACCTTGTTCTTTTTTCAACCCTGTTATAGTCTTGGCCTTCACAGCATCCTCTGGCAAGGAGTTCCACAGGTTGACTGTGCAGTTCTGTGTTTAAAAAGCCCCTACAGAAAACGTCCCTTTTCCAAGACGTCCCTCATTCTTATCACTGCAAACCCAGCCCAGAACCTGAGTCTTCTTCTCAAGGTCTGGTTCCCTCCCCTTTCCCCCAAGTGCTTGTCAGTCCATGCTCCTAAAACTGGCCTTCGCTCCCCATTAGATACCCCTAGGAGAGTCTCAGCGTCGGGGCATCCTTTCTCCTTATTGTCTCTGCCCACCGCAGTTTTAAGTATCCACTGCTGCGAAGTTTATTTTACAATCCTAGATAGGAAGCGGGGGTCTTACTGTCCCATCCCACACACAGCGCTCCAGCCTCCTGGAAAATTTATCCACAGTCGGAGATACCCACATGCCTTGGAATGGTAGGGGTGATGCTCACAATTCCCTTGTGCCCTGTCCCGTCATTTCCAGGTTTCCTGGGGAGTTAAAGGGACTTTTAATTGTGAGCTCTGGGCAAAGAGGGCAAAGCCCTCCTTGCTCAAACAAACCCTCTGTCATTGCCTTGATTGAAGCTCAAAGGAACCCCACTTTATACTCGCGAACACACAGTACCAAGATGCCACGGTGATGGGCGCCAGTCTCAGCACCCGGACAGATGGAACCAGAGGAGTGATTATGAGGCGCCAACAATCAACACCAACAGCCTGGGAGAGACACCCAAAAAAAGGAGGCACTGGAAATCATATTTATCCTCATATTTATCCTGGAACAAAATCCCATCTGCCTAGGAACTGCAGCAACCCAGAGCGAGCTGTGCAGGGGCCGAATTCATGATTCCTGGTGCGGGAGGGCATTTATCCTTAATAAAAAACCACTCCTGATGGAACAGTCTTGGGGTTTCTTTTCCCTCTCCAGCCTGCCTTTAGGTGAGAATTTAGAGGAGACCCAGACAGAGAGACGGAAATTATGTATTTTAGGTGTTAAGTGACAGAGATTAGGGGTATGTTTTCGGTTAGGTCAAAGAATAATTGAGGACTGGAGTTAGGGGATAAATATCGGGTCTGGTTGTGGCAAGGGTTCAGTAGGCAAATTAAAATTAGGATCGGGACCAGAGCTCGAGATAGAGGACAGAGTTAGGATTAGGGGTAAGGTTAGAAATCAATGTGTGATTATGGTTATGATTAAATTTAGGGGAAGGGTAAAATGAAAAAAATTAAAAGAGGGTGTTGAATAGCAGAGTTAAAGTGATTCTTTATCTTGATAGGAATAAAGTCCACAAAACAGAATCAAAATAAGGAGAACACTAACACCCTTCGGACCAGATTTTTAATCTTATCTAATTGCCTAACGCGCACTGAAATCAAGGGGAGGGACGAGCTTCAACCCCTTTACAAACCCTCTGGCCAATTCAAATTTAGAAACCTCCTTGCCCATGTTCCCATATCGCCCACCCCCTTCCCCAGCCACGCAGGATGTTCCCTGGTACCCACAGGGACACACCAATAGAAATTCTCTCCAGGTAGATGGCGTTGGGGTGAACTCGGGACATTTTATGACACTTTCCATGAGTCAATCGGTTCAAAGGCTTCCTCAGAGAGCGAACCCACCGGTAACTCAGGGGTAACTCAGGGGGAAACTTCCCCTCTCAGCGGGATATTCCACAATATCCCACTAGGGGGCAGCCTGGCGCCACCCGCTGCACCTTCTGTCCCTGGCCGCGGACACAGACAGCCAGACTCCGGGTCAGCCCAGCCCCGGCAATTCCCCGTCTCCTTCCGTGCTGGGAGGGGAAATACGCAGAGATCCGAGGGAGACGGGAGATGGGCTCCCGCCCTGTTTTATACTCCGGGGCGCTGTGACTCCCAACCAAGTTTTCACTCTAGAAGAGAAGCATTTAGGGCCAGCTCCGAGCCCCTTGTCAGTGAAGGCAGCGATGGTCTCTGGTGAGGCCCTGGGAACCCTGCCCGGTCTCACTGACTCCCCGGGGGAACGTGCAGAGAGCTGGAGGCTCCCTCTCGCCCTGGCAAATGCAGCCACTGCCCCTTTCCATCCAACCAGAGCCCGTCCCGCCGGCCCCTTTCATTTCCATCCCTGCTGGGTGAAACCCACATGCAAATCCCTGCCCCGGGGGGCGGGGGGGGGACCCTGTTTAAATACAGACCCCTGGTTATAGCAGCCTCAGTCTCTCCCCAGACACCAAGCCGCTCGCTTCTGCCTGTTGGGAAGTTTCCCTCATTGCATGAAAACGAGAATGAAATCTCTGTTGCTTTTCCTTTTCCTGCTATCTGCCCCCACCAGTGAGTGTCTATGGGGCAGTGGGGGGTATTGGTGACAGATCTGTGGGGTGTCTCTGTGACTAATGCCTTTCTTGCTTTCTTTCCCTTTCCCCAGGTGTCCTCTCCCAGGTGCAGCTGGTCCAGTCCGGCCCGGGGACGGTGAAGCCCGGAGAGACCCTCACCCTGACCTGCGCTGTCTCCGGGTTCTCCATCTCTACTCGGTATTACACCTGGAACTGGATCCGGCAGCCCCCCGGGAAAGGGCTGGAGTGGATGGGGTATGTTTACCCGTATAGTAGCGGGAGCACAAGCTACGCCCCGTCTCTCCAAGGCCGAGTCACCATCTCTGGAGACACCGCCAAGAACCAGGTCTCCCTGCAGCTCCGCTCGCTGGCAGCCGCGGACACCGCCACGTATTACTGCGCCCGGAGAGACACGGTGACACGAGGCAGAGCGGGGCTGGTACAAAAAGGGGAAGCGGTTTTTACACAGCCCGGGGAGGCCAGAGTTACAGAGTGGAGCCCCGCAGAGAAAGAGGCACACAGGATGAACTCACTGTGAAAAACATCCAAATAGCCGGGGGCGGGGTTGGTTGGTTGGTTGGTTTAAACCATGAAGAAAGTACCCAGTTCCTCCGGACACGCCTCGCCTTTGAGCTGCCAGAGAAATCATGGCAAACGCACGGACAAAACACAGGTGTTTCCTCCCTTTCCAACGGCTGTCGGAGCGGGCAGGGAAAGATTCACGGAATTCAGAGCCACAAAATAATCGCACCGCGTGTCCGTTCCCCGTGTGTGTGTCACGGTGCGTGTTAGGTGTGCACCGGGAAGGCCACGGTCTTTGCCTTGGGAAGAGAGTGAGGGGCGCGCGCACAGACACACACAGGGAGGGAGGGAAGGAGGGAGAACAAGTCCCATTTTCTCCAGTAGGCGGCAGCAGTCCGACACACCCACACAGGGGGCGACAGAGAGCGCGCAAATCCCAGGCTGCCCAGTAGGTGGCAGCGGTCCGACACACCCATACAGGGGGCGACAGAGAGAGCGCAAATCCCAGGCTGCCCAGTAGGTGGCAGCGGTCCGACACACCCATACAGGGGGCGACAGAGAGAGCGCAAATCCCAGGCTGCCCAGTAGGTGGCAGCGGTCCGACACACCCATACAGGGGGCGACAGAGAGAGCGCAAATCCCAGGCTGCCCAGTAGGTGGCAGCAGTCCGACACACCCATACAGGGGGCGACAGAGAGAGCGCAAATCCCAGGCTGCCCAGTAGGTGGCAGCGGTCCGACACACCCACACAGGTGGCGACAGAGAGAGCGTGATGAAAGATAGAGATAGAGATAGAGGACAGAGTTAGGATTAGAAGGTTAGAAATAAACGTAGGCTTAGGTTATGGTTAGAGGAAGGGTATGATGACAATATGGAGTCAAAATAAGTAGAACTCTAAAGCAACAAGGACGAGATTTTCAACGTTATTCAATGGCCTAACACACTAAATCAACCGGAGGTAGGAGCTTCAACAACTTTAAATGCAAACAAACATGGCTGTGGCATCATACTTTCTATTTAAGCAAGAGATCATAGAACATCAGGGTTGGAAGGGACCTCAGGAGGTCATCTAGTCCAACCCCCTGCTCAAAGCAGGACCAATCCCCAATTTTTGCCCCAGATCCCTAAATGGCCCCCTCAAGGATTGAACTCACAACCCTGGGTTTAGCAAGCCAATGCTCAAACCACCGAGCTATCCCTCCCCCCATGCCATACATTGCAAACTGGAGGCCAATGTTAAGTGCATTGTCACTTGTTCATCCTGAAGTTGAACACTGGTTCTGAACAAGACCAGCAAATGCTCACTGACTTTCTGCAAGAAACTCAACTGACTGGCTAGAAGCATGCGGTGCCACAGTGAAAGACTCAACAGTTGAAAAAGTGAAGAAATCTCTCTGTACATTCAAAAAAATTGCATACGTGGCTGATGAATGCACCGATGCAAATAGGAATCAAGTATTAAGTCATTGTGTACATTATCTTGATGTCAGTAGTAGACCAGTAGATGCATTTCTAGATGTTCAAGTTATAGAAGACACATCGGCTGCATCTGTGACAACCCACATCTTAGAAGAGTTAAATGCTTGTCAATTGGACCCCAGAGAGATGGCTGCTTGTGCATTTGATGGAGTTGCAAACTTTTCTGGAAGACATGGTGGAGCACAAACTTTGCTCAAAGAAAAGTGTAACCTTAATCTCTCCCATACACACTGCAGATCCCATCTACTCCAGCTAGCACTAGTACGAGCTGCAGACTCTTTAAAAGACATTTAAAAAAGCTATAAATTTAATGTCTTCTTTATATTCTTTTTTCAGCAAGTGTCCAAAAAGACTGAATATCTTGGAAAATATAGAAGATACACTGGGACTAAAGTTCATATTCGTCCAACCTGAGAAAACCCTCTGGCTTTCTCATGAGCGATCCTTGGCTGTTGTCTTAAAATTACTCCAGCCATTATTACTGGCTTTGGAAAGTATCTACCAAGATGGGGTGGATCTAAGTAGTGAGGCTGGTGGATACTTTTGCTACTATGTTCAGAGAAGACTATTGCCATTCTCTCTCTTGTAAGTCTACTGTTGAAACCACTTGGGTCATTAAACAATGCCATCCAGGCATATGCTAGGACAGTATTAGATCTTTCTCCAGCAGTAGAAGCTACATTTGGATCAATCAGAGAGCTATCCATTGAAAAAGTACTGGAAGAAGAAAAGACTTCAGTCCAGAAGTTGACTAATGAAGGCATTTATATTGAATCCTTAAGTGAAGAGGACAAGAAGTGTTTGTTAAGACAACTGAAAAAGTACACAGACTTGATTCTTAAAAATCTACAACAGCGACTTCTGGATTCTACTGAACCTCTACTTAGCTTTTACAGATCCCTGTCCTATAAAACACTGATGGTTGAGTGGAGTGAGGCACGACCAGCAATGGGGCTGCCCTGTGCTCAGGACAGAATAGAGAATTTGAACACAGAGTGGAATACCATACGATGAATGAATGAAGATTTGACCTCATTTTCTTTTTTATCATCGCTAGTGGCTCGACCAGATCTTTGTGCTCTGTTTCCTGGGCTGAAAGAAGTAGGAATTCATCTCTTGCCACTCCCAGTCACAACAGCTATGGGTGAGCGTTGTTTTTCATCACTGAATAGAATCTTGTGTTCTGAAAGAAGTCGACTTCTGCCTGATCATGTGAATGAACTAATGAGCATATCCATGGAAGGAATGGAAATACCGGACACACAAGAAGCCACCCAAGATGAACACATGGCATTCAAGAAGTTCATTAACAGAGTTGTGGAAAATTATAACAAGAAACCAAGAAGGATGTAGATGTAGTGCTTCATAGAAGGCTTGAGTAGCCAACTCTAATTTGTGTGATGATTTTAAAACATGAGTTAAATCTAATAAAATGGTCATGAAACATTTTTCAGTTTTTACTATGGTGCCATAGAGCCACCTTCACCCTCATGCCCCCCCCCCCCCCCCCCCCCCCCCCCCCCCCCCCCCCCCCCCCCCCCCCCCCCCCCCCCCCCCCCCCCCCCCCCCCCCCCCCCCCCCCCCCCCCCCCCCCCCCCCCCCCCCCCCCGCCCCCCCCCCCCCCCCCCCCCCCCCCCCCCCCCCCCCCCCCCCCCCCCCTCCCCCTCTCCTCTCACCCCCATCGGCCCTGACCCCTCCCTCCCGTAAATTCGAACCCCGCTCCCCCATTTCAATTCCCGGGGGGGAAACTGTGAGTCACCATCTCTGCGGAGTCCTCCAAGAACCAGGTCTCCCTGCATCTCCGCTCACTGAAATCCGCAGGCACCACCGCGTGTTACTGTGCCTGGAGACACAGGGCACAGAGCAAAGCGGGGACTGGTAGAAATACCCATCCTGTGGTTCAGATTCTGCCCTGTGTCCTCCATCACAGCCTGTGTTCTGGCAAAGCCCAGGAGCTGCATCTTCTCTCCATTCCCTTTTCCTTCCCTCTCACCAGAGCTGATTTTCAGGCTCTGCAGCCTAAACCAGCCCTTCCCCCGCATTCAGCTGCTGCTCCTTCCCCATCTGGCATTCCCACGAGAGTGTCATTTCCCCGAGGACACTGTTTATATCTATTTCATATGCCCAACACATTTTCCGAATAGCCACCGCTCCAATACAGGGACACCTTTTCCTCAAATGTGGAGAAAGAAAGAAAGAAAGAAAGAAAGAAAGAAAGAAAGAAAGAAAGAAAGAAAGAAAGAAAGAAAGAAAGAAAGAAGGGGTCAGATCACCCAGCATTCGCTAATAGCTGGCTCATTGCCTTGCCCTGTTACACAGCTCTGAGAGAGCCACTGAACAAAGGAGCTCTGGTGGTTTCAGCTCCTTTTCAACCGTGATGCCGGAGTGTCCAATCTTTATGCAAATCTGCCAGCCAGGTTCCTCATTTAAATAACAGCTCCCGGGTTCTCAGGGGACCCGCCTGCTCAGGGGCTGAAGTGAATTTCATTATTTATCTTTTTTTTCCATCTTTTCAAGAAGATGGAAAAGGCATTGTCACTTCTGGTTTTACTCACGCTCTCGCCCTGTAAGTCAGGAGGAGAAATCCGGGGGGAAATGATCAAACCCTGAGGAAGAGCGGTCAGGATTTAACTGTAACGTTTCCTGTCTTTGCAGGTGCCCGGTCCCAAATCCAGCTGGTCCAGTCCGGGCCAGGCGTGGTGAAGCCTGGAGAGCCCCTCACACTGACCTGAGCCGTGTCTGGTTACAACATTTCTTCTGGCTACTGCTGGGCTTGGATCAGGCAGGTTCCTGGGAAAGGCTTGGAATACATGGGGTATGTATATGCAGCTAGTGAGAGCACAAACTACGCACCGTCTCTCCAAGGCCGAGTCACCATCTCTGCAGACACCGCCAAGAACCAGGTCCCCCTGAAGCTCCGCCCGCTGACAGCCACAGACAGCGGCACCTGTTACTGCGCCAGGAGAGACACTATGAAATTAGGTCGAATTTACAGAAGTCAGTTTTGTAGAAAATGGTTTTATACAGTTGATTGTGTGTGTCCTCACACAAGTACTCTAAGTGCATGTAGTCGAAGGAGTGTGTCCACAGTACCAAGGAAACCGTCGACTTCCGGAGTGTTGCACTGTGGGTGGCTATCCCACAGTTCCCGCAGTCTCCGCCACCCATCTGAATTCTGGATAGAAATCCCAGTGCCTGATGGGGCTAAAACATTATCGCAGGTGGTTCTGGGTACATATCATCAGGCCCCCGTTCCTTCCCTCCCTCCGTGAAAGCCAGGGCAGACAATCGTTTTGCGCCTTTTTTCTTGAGTTACCTGTGCAGACGCCATACCATGGCAAGCATGGAGCCCACTCAGCTCACCGTCACCGTGTGTCTCCTGGGTGCTGGCAGACGTGGTACTGCATTGCTACACAGCAGCAGTTTATTGCCTTTTGGCAGCAGACAGTGCAGTGTGACTGGTAGCCGTCATCAACGTAATCCTGGGTGCTCTTTTAATCGGGTGCCTGGGCAAACATGGGAGTGACTCAGTCAGGT